TAACGGTAGGGTAAGAACTGGGATAGTGAGTCGTTTCTTTGGTTAAGTTACCATCTGGTTGTGATGGGTTTTGTGGGTTCTATCTGTTGGACTTGTAGGCCAGAGCACCGGTGGGCTCGGACTAATAATTGTGGGAGGGGAAGGGGGAGGAGGGGGGGTCCTGACCGATTCACGAGGCTTTCTTAATAGTCGTTATAAGTTTCCCACGGTTCCCACGTCTTAGTGAATGATTTCATGGAGCCTCTTATTTGGGCCGTTAGTTTGTCCATAAGGTGGTATTCTTTGATTTTGTTAAGCACTGTGGACATTGGGGGGAAGGAGGGGTAGGTTGTAGCCACGTTTGGGCTAGGGCTTTTCTGGCTGCTAGTGCTATTTTGTTTAGCAGTTGCTGTTCTGATCTAGTCCAGTCATCTAGGGGTTTGGATAGCAGGAATGTCCATGGATTTAGGTCTACTGGACTGTGTAGGATTTACGTTATTAGTTTTTGGATGTCTTTCCAGAAAGGTTTAATGGTGGGGCAGAACTACCACATATGGGTGTATGTCCCTTTTTCTCCGCAGTTGCGCCAACAGAGATCTGTTTTTTTCATGTGGTATAATTGGACCGGGGTAATGTACCATCTAAGCATTGTTTTATATGCTTGTTCCTGCATCGTGACATAGATGGAGGTTTTTGTGTTAGCTTCCCATATGTCCTGCCAGTCAATTCCCTCTAGAGTTTCGCCTAGGTCTGATTCCCATTTGTCTGTGTATTGGAGTCGGCCCCATTCCCGTGTGGTGGAACAGAGGTGGGAGTATAGTGTGGTGATCATGCCTTTTTGGTACCGTTCCGCTAAGCAGATGCGTTCAAAAAAGGTTGGACTGGTTGTAGCGGCAGTTTTCACCGTCGCTAGGGCCGCGTAATTTTTTTAGTTGTATATCTGAAGAAGTCGGCTGGCTTCAAGGTTGTTCTGGACTGTAGGTCTGGAAAGGGAATTATCTTGTCTTCTATGTAGAGTTGGTATACTCTCTGGAGGCCAGCTTGCTCTAAGCCTTTAAAGTCCCATGGTCTCATGCCTGGTGTGATGGCTCTATTACGATATATGGGGGTGAGTGGCGATGTCGTGGTAGTCAGCCCGTGTTTAAGAGCGTATTTGTCCCATAATTGGATTGAGTTGGTGATGGCCGGGCATGCCGTTCTCGGGAGCGCCCTGTGTTCTTTAGGGGTCCAGATGTAAAATTGTGGGAGATTGGATCTCATGAGCAATGATTCCAGATCTACCCACCTTCTAGTCTCTGGGGGGGTATGCCATAGGGCTATTTGTGCCATCTGGGCAGCTAGGTAGTAAAAATGGAGGTGGGGTAGGCCCAGGCCTCCTCTCGTTTTGGGGCGATAAAGTATGTTGCGGGCTACTCTGTGTCTCTTGTTCTGCCAGATAAATCTATCTATTGCTCGCTGTAGTGGGATGAGGTTGTGTTTCGTGATGGGGATGGGTATGGCCTGGAATAGGAACAGAATGCGGGGTAAAACGTTCATCTTGATTGAGTGTATTCTCCCTATCCAGGATATGGGTTTGTCCGCCCAGGTCTCCATGTCCGAGATGAGTTTTTCTATCATAGGTGTGTAGTTTAATCTGTAGAGTGTGGTGGTGTCTGCTGGCAGTTTAATGCCTAGATACGTAAGGGACGTTGGTGTAACGTTTATGTGGTGGTCTGAGGTGATATTAGTTATGTCCGTTTGTGTGAGATTTATGGGGAGAGCACTGGATTTCTCCACATTTACCTTGTATCCCGAGACCTCCCCATACATGTTCAAAAATGGGAGCAGTGCTCGCAGAGTGGGAATGAGTACAGTTAAGGTCAACAGGATATCGTCCGCGTATCCTGATACCAGGAATTCCTGGTCGTCTATTTTGACCCCTTTAATTTGGGGGTGTTCCCTGATGGCTTGGAGAAGAGGCTCAAGGGTCAGTACGAAGAGTACTGGGGAGAGGGGGCATCCCTGCCGGGTGCCATTGGTTATGCTGAATGGTGGGCATGTCGTTCCAGTTATCTTAATTTGTGCTGAAATGTTTGTATATAGTGCACGTACAGCTGTAATATATGAGGGGGGTATGTTTAGGTGTTCTAAGAGTGCGAACATATAGGGCCACTTTACCCTATCGAACGCTTTTTCCGCGTCTAGGGAGAGTGCTAGTGATGGTATTTTCGCGGCTGCTAGCATCCATAGTATGTCTATGTTTCGTCTCGTATTTTCGAATAGTTGTCGTCCAGGTATGAAGCCCACCTGGTCGGCATGGACTAGTTGTGTTAGGTATGGGTTCAGTCTTCCCGCTAGTATTTTGGCGAAGATTTTGCTGTCATGGTTTATGAGGGATATGGGTCTGTATGCTTCTGGTTGAGTGTGGTCTTTGCCTGGTTTTGGGAGTAGTATGATGTTTGCCCGTGTTATGTCGCTATCTGGTGGGGTTCCCAGTACAATAATTTTTAACAGTGTGGCTAGATTCTCTAACTATATCAATATTGTGGTGTAAGACAAACCTAGTGTCTCCAGTGATAATCAGTCTGCACTTGGCATTCTTGGACACTTTATTAACAATCTTTTTCAAAAACTAAAATTGATTTATAATCAGGAAAATATAGAGTGTATTCCAAAGTATTCAATAGGTCTTTTCCAAATCACATACCTTCCCTCTCTATCAACTAAAACGTCAGTAGTATGAAATGCTCTATTTTTATGAATAAAAATTGAGACACCACTAGCCTTGGTGCAAAATGTAGAATGAAACTGAGTGGGATAAACCTTTTACCAGAACCTTTAGGGTATTATTTAATTTGAAATTGGACTCTTGAATAAATAACATTTTGGGCCTATGTTTCTTTGTCTCCTTAAATAGCAACTATCTCTTGTGTGGCACCTTCACATCTCAATATGAATTTTAGGAAGTCTCCATGCATCTTATCAGCATTGAGATGGTTCTGGTCAGGAAATTAGGAAAAGACTCCCTTCCAGCATGTTGCTAGGTATAAAAAAAAAAAAATGTGGTAAGAGAGACAAAACATGATGAAAATTCATAAAATGTGATGCAGATAGAAACATTACTGTTGCACATTGCCTGCATATGATGGACTTTGGGAAGTTTGCCTTGGGCACAGAAATTCTAAGAAATTATGGCAATGCACGGTGAAATCTGAAAAATAAAGCCTGATAGGGATAGTTGTGGAAACAAGATTTCGTGGAATTTTTGTGCCCAAGGCATACTTCTCAAATTCCATCTTGAGATATGCAGGTCATGCATAACAGGGATTTTATCATCTATCTATCTATCTATCTATCTCCTAAAACTTATCTTAACTATGTCTGTTTATTGAGGTGACTATGGTGCTAAGAATCTGTTGTTTATTTTATCGTCTCAGATACAGTTGCAAGAAAAAGTATGTGAACCCTTTGGAATGATATGGATTTCTGTACAAATTGGTCATAAAATGTGATCTGATCATCATCTAAGTCACAACAATAGACAATCACAGTCTGCTTAAACTAATAACACACAAAGAATGAAATGTTGCCATGTTTTTGTTGAAAACACCATGTAAACATTCACAGTGCAGGTGGAAAAAGTATGTGAACCCCTAGACTAATGACATCGCCAAGAGCTAATTAGAGTGAGATGTCAGCCAACTGAAGTCCAATCAATGAGATGAGATTGGAGATGTTGGTTACAGCTGCCCTGCCCTATAAAAAACACACACCAGTTCTGGGTTTGCTTTTCACAAGAAGCATTGCCTGATGTGAATGATGCCTCGCACAAAAGAGCTCTCAGAAGACCTACGATTAAGAATTGTTGACTTGCATAAAGCTGGAAAGGGTTATAAAAGTATCTCCAAAAGCCTTGCTGTTCATCAGTCCACGGTAAGACAAATTGTCTATAAATGGAGAAAGTTCAGCACTGCTGCTACTCTCCCTAGGAGTGGCCGTCCTGTAAATATGACTGCAAGAGCACAGCGCAGACTGCTCAATGAGGTAAAGAAGAATCCTAGAGTGTCAGCTAAAGACTTACAAAAGTCACTGGCAAACGCTAACATCCCTGTTAGCGAATCTACAATACGTAAAACACTAAACAAGAATGGATTTCATGGGAGGATACCACAGATGAAGCCACTGCTATCCAAACAAAACATTGCTGAACGTTTACAGTTTGCACAAAAGCACCTGGATGTTCCACAGCATTACTGGCAAAATATTCTGTGGACAGATGAAACCAAAGTTGAGTTGTTTGGAAGAAACACACAACACTATGTGTGGCGAAAAAAAGGCACAGCACACCAACATCAAAACCTCATCCCAGCTGTGAAGTATGGTGGTGGGGGCATCATGGATTGGGGCTGCTTTGCTGCGTCAGGGCCTGGACGGATTGCTACCATTGAAGGAAAAATGAATTCCCAAGTTTATCAAGACATTTTGCAGGAGAACTTAAGGCCTTCTGTCTACCAGCTGAAGCTCAACAGAAAATGTATGTTGCAACAGGACAATGACCCAAAGCAAAGAAGTAAATCAACAACAGAATGGCTTAAACAGAAGAAAATACGCCTTCTGAAGTGGCCTGACCTCAACCCGATTGAGATGCTGTAGCATGACCTCAAGAAAGCGATTCACACCAGACATCCCAAGAATATTGCTGAACTGAAACAGTTCTGTAAAGAGGAATGGTCAAGAATTACTCCTGACCATTGTGCACGTCTGATCTGCAACTATAGGAAACGTTTGGTTGAAGTTATTGCTGCCAAAGGAGGTTCAACCAGTTATTAAATTCAAGGTTTCACATACTTTTTCCACCTGCACTGTGAATGTTTACATGGTGTGTTCATTAAAAACATGGCAACGTTTCATTCTTTGTGTATTAGTTTAAGCAGACTGTGATTGTCTATTGTTGTGACTTAGATGATGATCAGATCACATTTTATGACCAATTTGTGCAGAAATCCATATCATTCCAAAGGGTTCACATACTTTTTCTTGCAACTGTATATGTTTTTATTTAAGCTTTATATTTATTTTTGCATTAGTGAGATTCCAAGAGGACAAACAGTCACAATAACTAGGTCTGTAAAACAAATGTAAATGTTATTAATGTTTCACTAGCACTTTTATCTTGCAAGAGGGCAGTTTCTTTTGGATTTGCAGGTGTTTTGCTTGCATGTTTTAATATTCCCCCTGTTTAGACACACATGAGTGCACATACTGCACACTTTGCCAGGAAATTTCATCCCTCCTTAAAGCTATGTGACTTAATCTGTGAATTGTATTGAAGTATGACATTGGGAGATGGGCTGGGCAAACTTATGGAGACATGCCATGTTACTCCTCAATGCATGGAAAGGAGACGGGGCTGTCCAAAGAGGGGTTGTGTCAGTGGGACCACTGGCAATGCTCAGGAGTGTCATCGGGCGGAGTTGAGGGGATGGAGGGCTCAAACCCCATCTGTAGGGCCCTATAGCCATGGATCTTTTTGTCCCTAGGTGCCTTGCTATCCATGCCTCCATCTCCTCCATTAGTCCAGGACACACACGCTATAGAATGTCATATTCCCTGTATGTAACTCTACCATTGCTCTTCTTCTACTCACCAATGAGAAGAGCAGAAGCATATCTCACTGAAGAGACTGGCAGACCTCAAACTGAAGAGCCGGCGGTGTGGTAAGTGCTTTCCCTACAGTGAGCTTGTGGCCACTGAAACCATGACAGGGAAGGCAAGGTATAGGCACATCATTTTATTGTGTGTATGTATCCATGTGTGTGTGAATGTGATTGTCTGTGCATGCCTGTGGGGATGTAGGAATCATTAAATCATTTCTGGGCTTAAGCCCTGTGTGTATTTTGATCCTAGCAATGCCCCTGCATCTGCTTGTGGGATCCTCATTGCTATGTCACACAAAGCCCACTTAAAGCAGCCCTGCCAAATGTACCTTTCCCCAGTTGCTTCCTCTTCTCTTACTCTCTCGGGATTTGTTCTTCTTTTCTTCCTATCTGATCGAGTTTTCTTTAAAACATAAGTCAAAGTAGGGAATTCTTTGCCTTATTTGTTTTTCCTAAGCTTGACAAGCTTTGACCCAAGGAAGAGCTTACGTCCGCTCCATTTCCTGTAGTCAAATTTTTTGTTCCACAATACTCACCTCTCCTCCTATGTTCTCGTGTTGCTTCATTTGTTGTTCAAACAGCCATTTGCCGGTGATACTACCTAATTTCATGCTAGCAGAATAAGTATAGTGTGTCCATTTGTGTTAGGAACCAATTCAGTACTTTTTGTTCGGATCGGAATTTCATTCGAATGTTGGATTAAACCAAACAATCAGAGCTCTCTGCCGAACTCAGTCTGTATGGGTGAAGATGGATTATTTTTTTAACCATTTCCTTTATTATTTAACCCAACAATTGCTTTGTATTTAGCCCTGCCTTTTACTTGCTTTCTGTTTTTAACGATTTTACAGAATCTGCATTTTTTTCAATTTTGCCTTAGCTTTCCATTTAACACTATTTAGCTGTTAAAGCACGTATTTTTCCCTAAAGATTTAACACCGTATTTACATAGTAGTGTTTCATCCATATTTCCCAACTATTTTGTTTAACCCTATATATCAATGTTTTTATTCTGATTTATCATTCATTTTATGTGCTCCCTTTAGCTAGTTGACCCTTTCATCCACCACCTTTTTTAACCCTACCTTTACAAACCCATATCAACCCTGCCATTCCCCATCTTCTGGTGGGCCCCAGGTAAGAAGTCAGATTGATCCTAAACTGTTTGACTGCTTACATGGCGAGGGTAGCAGGGCTCTCCTGGCACCATATCAATCACAGCATGCTGTAGCGTAGTGGTTAGGGTGCTTGGAATGTCCCTATAATCATAATGTGATGGGATTCCAGCATGGTCAAAATTTAGTAGGTCGAAATCTCCACATGGCATATGCTAATTAGTATCTGATTACAAACAGTTGGATGAGTCATCAGTGTACTGAGCATGTACAGAAGTGGATTGTACATTCCTTTGTCTGTAAGCTCCATGTGGTCTGCCCATATAAGGTGATCCTGGATATCCTGTGTGCTGATTGGTTTGAGGTATATAAGAGGGGTTATACTGTATGGGAGGGAATATGCTGCTAACAAAAGGCCTCTGCACCATGCTTTCTGGCTCTCAGATATTTTTGGAACAGGAGTTCATCTGAGACCCGATCGGTGTGTAAATAAAAGACCTGTTACTTCCTGAATAGACTTGTGTCCATCTCTTTATTTTTGGCTTCTGCAATTGATTATGGTAACAATAATAACTCCACATACCCTTTATGCTACTAGCTGTGGGGACAATTGCTCCTTTTGCTCCCCATTGAATTAGTAAATTAATGTCTATGTGTACTAAATATATACTATAAAGGAGTTTATTCACTGAAAAACAAAAGTGAGTATATTTAAAACTAGGTAAACAAGTAATTTGGAAAATATCTCCAACTCAGCTATAATCACAGCTTGGGTATTTTTGTGCATACATTTCAGAATTTAAACTCCAACACTGCACACAAATACACCCTGGCATTTAAACATCAACACCACATACAGACTCCTCCATTCAAATGTTGTTAAAACACCCCCAATATATAAAAACACACCCATGTATTCAAAAACCAACACTACACACAAATGCATGCCTGCATTCAAATGCCAACACTGCAAACACGCCCCTACATTTACTTACACGTACTCCATAAAAAAAAAAAAAATTGCTTACATTCAAACACACAAACACTGCTAAATACAACTCAGTATCTCCCTGGACTGAAAAGGAAGGGAGGGCATGACTGCAGGCCAGCAGTAAGGAGGGGATACTTTGTTGCAATATGGAATATAAAGCAGGACAGAGGAGGGGCCTTACCAGTTGCTCAGTAAATTTAGGATTGAGAACTTGCTTATTTTACTTCCATAGTATAGGGCCTAGTGATTTACCTATAGTTAGGTTTGGAGCAGTTTTAGTTAGGTTTGCAGTAGTTTTTGTTAGGTTTGCAGTAGTT